GGTCTTGGAATATACCCCCTACAGGTAAGTGGGGATGCCAGTATTTCCCCCATCCCACTTCCTGCCCCGCCCCCAGTCAGTCCATCCCACCAGGAAGCATCCTGCCTTAACTGGGTTACCCGCAGAGGGACACTGAAGAGCAGGCCTTGGTCATGGCCCTTGAGGGCCTCAGTGTCTAATGATGAGGGGAACAGACAGGTAAACAAAGACTAGACAGGTGATCAGGACTGTGGCAGAGGGCTAAACAGGGGTGTAGCAGCCCAGGGCGGGTCATCTGGTATGTGGGGGAGGGTGTGTCAGAGAAAGCTTCTTAGAGGAGATAACAAATAAAAACTGAGCCTTAAAAGACAAGTATATATAGTCAGGTAAAGAAGAGGGGGTAGAACATTCCAGGATGACGAAACACATGCAAAGCCCCCAAACATGAAGCATCGTTCAGTTTTTGGAGCTGGGCTGGAATGTGAATTGTGGGTGGGGAGCAGCAGAGGGAAAGGGAAGGGACGAGGTGGATGGTGCCAGAGTCTGAGGGGCCTTGAAAATCATTCCGTGGAGCCCGACTTCATCCTGAAAACTGCAGGATGGGTGAGGAGTACGTGTTTGGGATTAGCGATAGTAATGGGGATGAACAGACAGGGCCCAGCGGCCACTCACTCCCCCTATTTAAATCTCCCTCACCGTCTTACTAATTAATTTCCTGAACAGCCAACTTCCAGGACTGAAAAGATATCTACATCCAGAGATGGCGCTGGCTCACACATGGCAGCTGCATTTTTTTTAACAGTTAAGTTTTAAAATTTTGAAATGCTTAGACTTATAGAAGACTTGCAAAAATAATATAGAGAATTCCCATATACTCTACACCTTCTGTTAATACCACACATAACCACTGAATATTCATCAAAACTAAGAAATGAACTTTGATACAATACTAGCAACCAAAGTACAGGCTTCACTCAGTTTTCCCCAGTTCCAATGATGTCCTTTTTCTGTTCCAGAATCCAACCTGGGACCCCACATTGCATGTAGTTGTCATGTCTCCATAGTCTCCTCCAATCTATGGCAGTTTCTTAGTCTCTCCTTGTCTTTTTTGACCTTGACACTTTTGGAAAGTGTTTCATAGATTGTAAGATATTTTGAAGAATGTCTCTCAATTTGGGCTTATCTGTTTTCTCAAGATTAGATTGGGAATGAATCTGTGTGTGCGTGTCCTTCTTAGCATCCGGGGGTACATGACGTCAGTGTAAGCACACTGGTGATGTTAATTAACCTTGATTGCTTAGCTAAGTGGTATCTGCCAGAATTCTCTACTGAAACTATTTTTCCCTGTATAATTACTAAATATTCAGAAACTATGCAAACACTCTGTTTCTGTTTAAACCTATACTCTCTTATTTTAGTATTCATCAGTGGATCTTGCCTGCAGCAATTATAACTAGTCTCCTAATACTGATTTTCTACATTTGTTAATTAGAATTCTATAAGGAAGAATTCTCACTCTTCTGTTTACTTAGTCTGTTAGTTCTGTCAGTATGAATTCATGGATATTTTAGTCTTTGGGTTATAAACTAATACACAGTTATTTTGTTGCTCAAATTGTTCTAACTTTGACTGGAAGCTCTTTCAGGTTGGCTTCTATGCCCTTTTGATTTGCTTCCTCTCCCCGCCTTCTCCTTTTTTTAAAAAAAGAAAAATATATAGTACTTTCTGGCACAAGATGCTCCAGGCTCATCTTACACTTTCCCTGCTTTAGCTCTAGGACCAAGCAGTTCTCCAAGGAGTCCTAATTCCTTTTATTAATATTTAGAAACCAAGATCTGGGTACTAGGGAGGTATCACTGCCTCTAGCCCTCTCAATGGTCAGGGCTAGAAATTACATGTATACCAATTCATAGATATACACACGTATCTATATTTGCTATTTATCTATCCAGCCATGAGTCCATACAATACCTCTGAATCAAATCTAGCACCAGAGGTTTCTTCTCTAGCCTTCCCCTTTTCCTGATTTATGACTTCTTTCTCTGATGTGAGAAACCTGACTATCATTATCTATAATATATTGTGTGCTCAACCCTAGTATACAAATAAAGTAGTGACAGAATTCCTAACCCATAACCCTGCAGAGAAACAAATTTACAAACTATGGTGCTTTTTTGTATACAGTTCTTTTTGTCTTCAGCCTCACAGTATACAGTCAAAGCACTGGTTTTCAAGGTCAGCTCCTTTCTTTCCATTCCCTTCAGTGTGGCTATGTGTTTTGTTTATAATATCAGTTAGATTCGTTTGTCAGTCTGGATTCTAGTGTTTTCCCCCACATACTGGTGTCTTAAACATTTACATACAGTAAAATTCACTTCTTTTGTGGTGTGTAGTTCTATAGGTTTTAACAAATGGATAAAAATGTGTTGAAACCACAGTTCCGTGCAGAACAGTCCCATCACCCTCAAATATTCCAAAGGCAACTGTTAATTTTCATTCCGCTTTCCCAGAAACAACCAGGAGGTGGCAGGGTTTCTACCTGAGAGGCAACCTTCACAAGGCAGCTAGCTGAGCCTGCCTGCTCTGCATGCACCGGGCCTAGGAAGGCAGCTCCCCATCCCCATATCCCGGGTCATCTTCTCCTGGTTATGGTTATAGAGGTTATGAGGTTAAGCTGAAATAGGGGAGTCTGGCCGGAAACCTCAGAATCTCACACTCCAGCTGAATAAGCAGGATGATTCATCTGAATAGTCAAGAAGGCAATCCATAAATATGCTCTGATAAAATATGCACAGTGAGGGCAACACAGAGAGACGAAAAAAACTGGAGGCCAAAACCAAATCAGATGAAGGTGGGTACATGATCAGACTCTCTCTTTAAGACATTGCTTGTATTGTATTGGTGGCTGGGAGAGATGTCTGTAATATGAAACTGAACGGAGAAAGGACAGGATTTCTAGGTAGAGGAAAAAACACGAACACAGGCAGGACAGTATGTTCTGGACAGAAGATGAGGTTAGAAATATAGACCGGGGACAAAGTTGGTGACGGTTTAAATGCCCTCTCATTTCAGCATCCAGTAAACAGTAGGGTTCATGCCAACGGCTACGCTGTGTGGTAGATATGTGATGCAGCATGCTGTCCATGTGCTTAGGCATAATTACGAACCGCTTGATTAATAGCAAATTACAATTTAATAATGATTAACTGTCAACATAAACACCACTAAAGTAACTACTGGTAGGTCATTTTACCTCCCTAGGCTGCATCTGTAAACTGAGGGTAATGGTTAATAATAGAGTTGTTGTATTTAATGAGATAATACATAGAAAGTACGTAAGAGTTTCTGGGGTACCCAGTGCTCAATAAATATCAGTATTATAAATTATACATGACAAGTTTATTTCAATGCCCTTATATATCTCTTTTACCTTTCTTCATAATGGGCAAATTGTCAAAAGATTCTTATCACACACACAATAAAAAACCGGTCTAAAGTATATTAGGATGTCTTCTTCATTCGTTAGTGCTACATAGAAACCAATGTGCACAGTTCATGGACTCTGACTAAGACCCACCCCTGCACACTACTATTGGAACTCCTAACACCTTGCTGGGCATTTTATATACATCGTATATTGAATCCTCTAGAAAACTCTGAAAGGTAAGTATTTATCATACCATTTTAAAGGTAAGATAATTGAGCATCAGCGACATAAAGCAAACTGCCCAAGGTAAGAGCTAGTCTCTCACCAACCTCTGCCTCTATTGTTTCTGCTGAACTACACTGCACTGCTCTCTACCATCCATGAAAATACTCCTCTAGTTCTTTTTTAAAGGACATTGTTTTATTTTTAAATTACTTATCTTTTTCAGTTTCAGTTGACATTCAGTATTATTTTATATTAGTTTCAGGCATACAGCATGGTGGTTAGACATTTATGATTTATGCAGTGATCCCCCATTAGCCTAGTACCTACCTGGCATGATGCATAGTTGTCGCAAAATTATTGACTGTATTCTCTATGCCACACTAACTCCCTAGAGTTCTGACATTGGCCCTCTTCTCTTCCGTATGCAAGTTTGCTCTTTGGGTGACTTCTACCCACTAACAAAACTTTACCACCTTTAAGCCAACAGCTCCACAAACTTCTCCTTACAGGTAGGACTTTTCACCTCAGTTCTGATCATACACAGTCTCTTTGGTGGACTTTTCTGTGTGTCCTTCTCAGGTACTTCAATCTCAGCATTGCCAATGCCAACCTTTCGCCTTACTCTCTTCCAGGAAGGGCCATTCCTGTTATTCCAAATCTTTGACTTCTGGTGCTGCCCAATACCCAGGATGCCACCAGCTCCTATCAGGTGAGATTCTCGCACATCTGTGCCATTACATCCCCTTCTCCTCCTTCAGAGCCTTCACACCTTTCTTTGGACTCCCCTAAAAACTTTCAGAGTGCCTTTTCTGCTTCACCCATCCCAATCCATTCTTCAAAGCTCCCTTCTGGGTTAATCCTCTCAGAATATGTTTTTTCATGTCATCTCAGGCTAATGGCTCTTGGAAAGCTTCCCAAAAAATCCCAAATTCTTCACCAACCTTGATGCAGATTTCTGGGCATGCCCTAGCCTCCGCATAGGCCATGATTCTAGCAAACAAAATGATATCACCTTCAGGGAACCTACTGCCCTCCTGCCTTTTCATCTAAAATCCCTACTTTGTCTCATCATGCCTTGAGAGAAGAACTAGTGGAGTACATTAATCCCAGTTAGGACTTGATTGTTATTTGGGGCCTTGCCACTTAGAACCTGTAGATACATTTTCACAGCATCCTTACATCTCACCAGTCTTTCTCCCCACCTAGTCAGGAGATCCCTGTAGGCAGGAAATATGCCAGATTCATTTTCAGGTTTATGAGTACACAGTACAAGGCCTAGCATATAGTACAGGCTTGGAAAATGAAGAACTGACACTAAAGGTGACGTGATGGGTGAAAGGTGGGCAGTAGAGCCGCAAGCACCACTCACCCTTCCGGTTCATCCCCATCTGGAGGCATTTGAGCAGGCGGCAGTACTGGCACCTGTTCCTCTGCTTCCGAGACATGACACAGTTCTTGTCACGGCTGCACCGATAGACCCGCTTGTTGCAAATGCTGCGCTTGAAAAACCCTTTGCAGCCCTCACAGGAGATGATTCCATAATGCAAGCCGGTGGCACGGTCCCCACAAATGAGACAGGTACGCTGTTCAGCCCGGTCATCTGGAACAGAAACTGAACACATTCACATTAAAAGACAGTGGAAAGAATGGCTTCAAGCCTGCAGCTCTGGAAGAAGCAACCCCGCCCTGGGTAGATCAAGAACATCGCCCTCTTCAGGATACCTGGCACACGGGGTATCTTTAGCGCCCTTGTCCTAGGAACAGACCCCCGCATCTACCTGCTGGTACCGCAAACATAGCCTGTGGGAAAAAGGGACTCATGCTCCTCCCCCTGGATTTCATCACCACTTGGACCAGTGTTCAAGTCAGAAACCTGGGCGACAGCTTTGACTCCTCCCTCTCCCTTAGCCTCCTCAGCCACAGCTCATCACTTCTACCTGGTGGGAAGGTGGGAAAGGTTACTGAAAATGAACTGAAGTGCCCAGCACATGGTATACGCCTGATAAATGGTAACTGTAATTATCAACAAGTGAAGAAGCTTTACCCATGCCCAGCCAAGCCATTCATTCATCTATCCATCCATCCATCCATCCAACCAACCAACCAAACAACAGATATGTACGGAGCAACTATCCTATTCTAGGCACTGTTGTACAGCATGGGTACAGCAGTGACTAAAAGTTCCTGGTGAAGCTTCCATGCTAGCAGAATGCCTACTCTGTGTCCAGGCTCTGTCCTAGGTACCGTGTATTCAGAAATAAAGCATCATGATCCCCATAGTTAAGGAACTCGTTGCCTAGCAACAAACAAGTTAGTTAAAGAGGAAATTCAGGATGCAGTATAGCTCTCTACTTCCTCTTCCCTCAAATTCCACCAACTCAGGACCAAGAAAGTGACTAAAAATAGGTATATGACAAAACAACACCCTGGTGAACTATGATGTCAGACCTTGCTAATAGGTGCAAGAAACCTCCAGGACAGGTTTTGATCAGAGGCCAAGGCAAGAAACCAGAGAGTTGAGCCTCACTCTTGAGACTTATTCTGAAACCTCAAAGTTTTAGAGCTGAAGGCTTAAAGAAAAGGTATAACAGGCAAGTTATAATGGTTAAGGACACAGCCCTTAGAGCTAGAGAGATGCTTATTTGAATCCCAGTTCTGACACTTATCAGTTGGGTGAACTTGGGCAAATCAAGATACTTTACCTCTTTGAGTCTTGTTTCTCTATAAAATGGGGATTATAATGATACTTATATATCATGGATAAAGTACTCAACAAAGGGCTTGGGATACAACTGACATTTAATAAATAATAGCTATTATTTTCATTATTATCCTAACAAATCCACACTTAATGTGATAATGACATTCTTGGAAAGAAAAACATTTGAAGATAAATGTTAACGGAGGGGCATGGTGCTATCTATGTATATAGGAGGGATGCAGGGAAGGAGGGAGGCTAGCATTTATGGAGCCTTTATTACATGCCAACTTTAAGATATGTCCACATGATCCCCATTTGTAGTAGGCTGGATAATGGCCACCCAAAGATATCAGGTCCTAATCCCTGGAACCTGTAAACATTATCTTGGAAGGAAGAGGGATCTTTGCAGATGTGATCAAATTAAGGATCTTGAGCAGGAGAGAGTATTCTGGATTATAAGGGAGGGGACTACTTGCAATCACACATATCTTTGTAAGAGGCAGAGGGAATTTTGATACAGAAAGAAGAGGAAAGCGCTTGCGTGAACACACATACACAGACACAGACACACACCCACAAAGGCAATGTGAAGACACAAGCAGAAGTTGGCCACAAGCCAAGGAATACTGGCAGTCACTAGAAGCTGGAAGAGACAAGGCATGGATTCTACCCTCGGGAGGAAAGGTGGCTCTGCGCACCTTCATTTCCAGCCCAGTGATACTTATTTTGGACTTCTGGCTTCCAGAACTGGGGGTGAATAAATTTTTAACAGCAGCACAGGAAACTAATACACAATTTTTTTTTCATATGGGAAAACTGACATAAAAGGCTCTTGACTGAATAGCAGGTACGCAGAGAAAAGCAGATACACGAGACCCCACAGCTAGGGAAACAGCTATGGAAAGGGTTTGCCTGGGTTCTCGAGGACTCTATGTTTCCGAGGCACAGACTTTTCTAAGCCTTTCTAGGCTTGGATGTACTTCCTAACTGTAGGCAAATTGAAAAACTGTGACAAATTGACATTCTAATGTTCTTGTAATACAATCCTTGTTTTCTTTTTTCTTTCTTAAGCTAACTTAAATGAGTTTCTGTTATTTGCAACTAAAAGAAACTTGGCTAACATACCCTATAAAAATGGCCCTGGTATATAATAAGCGTTCCTTTTCTTTTCCTTTTAAAAAGGCAAAGGAATCTCAAGGTAAACATTGGAGCCAAGTTATAATAGCAAATTAAAAATCTAAACAAGGAAAGGCCAAACCGGCAAAATGAGTGGTAGAACAACAGCTCGATGTGTGGGATGGGACTTCCTCGAGTGCTGGGCTTGAGATGCTGCAAAGGTTTGGAAACAGCATGGAACACGGGAAATCATGATTGGCTGTAGAAGAATCTAAATTTCTAATGTTAAATTAAAACCTTTAATGTTGGGCCGGCCGAGTGGCGCGATGGTTAAAAACTCGCTTGGGATGCCAGAGGGCCCCGGTTCGGATCCCACATATGAGGGCCAGTGACACTGCCCTCCACAGCTAAGATGCTGAACAACAGCTCAACCTGGAGCTGGGCTGCCATGAGTCGCCGGCGACGGCGTGGGCTGCAGTCCCTGTGGCAGTGGATTGCCATGGGCTACCGTGTGTAGCCAGCAGCCAGCGTGAGCGGCCGTCCAGAAGCCGGCGACTGATCTGCCTCGCCAGAGAAGAGCGCAATGATGGTGCCAACTTGGGCCAGTGAAGCAAAGTCCTCCACAACTAGACTGAAGAACAAAACGACAGCAACTTGTCTGTTCCCCTTTCCCCAATTCCCCAGCACTGTTCCCATCCCCCCAATTTCCCAATTAAAAAAAAAATCTTAAAAAAAAAAACAAAAAACCTTTAATGTTTCATTACATATATGCATTAATATATAAACCAGAACACTCCTAGAGTAGACTTAAAAATAATTATGAGTAATCAACATCTACAAGAACGACACCTTCCTTTCTTCACTAAGCAACTAGGCACTGTGTGTGCTTTGTTTCTGTTGTGTCATGTAATTCTCATAATCCCAATGGTGGGTACAACTGTTACCACTGTTTTGTAAATGAGAAAATAGAGATCTTAAAAAGAGTTAAGTAACTTGTCCATTTAGGATGTGACTGACCCTAATATGCCAATATCAGCACTGGAGTTCAGTAACCTCTTCATAAAGCATTCGTATAGGATTCTGTGGACCCAAAGCAAAGGGCCCAGCGAACAACAGTCAAACACAGACCTGTTAAGAATCCACTCATGTCTTGAAACACTGTGTGTCATTGCGTACGAGTTTACGAAGGCCACACTGAGATCCAAGGCTACGGGGGACTATTTCTCCACTGATGGGCACAAAGAGACTAGCTTCCCTTTGAATCCAATGACTGCTTCTCGGTCTGGCCATACCTAATGTTACTGCCATGTTCTACTTCTATAAGCAGCACTGGTCTATGCTACAACCAGCAACTAATTCAGAAGGCAGTTTCTTAAAGGTACAAGAACAAGGCCCCTCTCCCCATGAACCTTATAATCCTTCAAAGAGGCCTTTGGCAAACTCCTCTCACAGCACGTGGAAAAAGAGCATAGTAACAGGAGAAACTATTGTTAACAGAGCACTTGACTTGGCACAGAGGTTCTGTGCCAAGCACACAGCATATGTTATTGTGCTGAATCATCACAACAAACGTAAATGAGGTGCGCTTATTTACAGATGAGGAAATCCAAGCTCATGAGGTGACATCACGTTCCAACAGTCACCCAGCTAGTAAGAAAGGGAGCTAGGGCTGGAACCCCCAAAGTCTATGCACCTAACCATCACATTCTGTGGCCACAGGAAGGCAAATTTATCCATTGTCTATACGTAGGTAAATCAGGCCCTTCCTGATTTGGGGGTGGGTGGGGGGGGGGTGAAGCTAAAAAGCTAAGGTCTCCCTTTGTAAATGAACAAACTGAAGCAAAATGCCCCTGACAGTGCCCAGTCAGATAGCAGATTTCTGCACCTTTTCTTGTAAAGGATTTGAATGATATTTCAAGCATGTCGACATTCATTATCTCACTCGTACCAGGCCAGGGCAAGGATTATTCTTATAGATATGGTAAAGAACATTCAGTAAGTACCAACTGTATACCACGAAACATTCAAGAAGTTTTGACCTGTGCTGTCTTATTTCTTCATTACAATAACTGTGAGAGGTATTGTTATCCCCATATTTCAGCACCTGGACTCTTAAGAGTTAGAACATGCCTTGGAAATTGCCTTGAACAAACCATTACCCAAAATCCTCTTTACCCAAAATTCCAAGACAAGGGATTGCCTTGATCACATTTCACAATTGATCCTTGAATTACATGGGTCCACTCACATGCAGCTTTTTTTCAATAAATGCCTGTACTGTTTAGATCCGAGGTTGGGAGTCCACGGATGTGGATGACCCTCTGTATGAATTGATCTATGCCATTTTATATAGGAGTCTTGAGTATCTGGGGACCGTGGTATCCATGGGGGCTGGGGTCCTGGAAACAATACCCCATGGATACTAATGAACAATTAATATTTTGGAAAGTCAAGTTACATGTTGATTTTTGACTGTGCATGGGGGTCAGCACCCCAACCTCTGTGTTATTCAAGGGTCAACTATACTTGCACATAATTAGTGACTCAATTAGGTACTTCATTCCCTTCATTCCATTTTAGACTGTTTTAACAGTTCAAAAGCTTTTCTTTACACAGAGTCAAAGGCTGTTAACCTGAAGTTTTCCCTATTGCCTTGAGTTATATGCTCATGGGCAAAAAATAAATATATTAGGGCCGGCCAAGAGGTGGGTTGGTTAAGAGCTGGCTTGGGATGCCAGAGTGCCCCGGTTCGGATCCCACATATGAGGGCCAGTGACACTGCCCTCCACAGTTAA